TTCGTTTTCGGTATGCGATCCCAAATTTTCCCATGGAAAGACTCATTTGCATTTTGCGTTTTACCGTGCAGACATTTTTTAAGCTCATCTTCTTTTGTGAGCTCTTCAAACACAGGTCTAATCTTGTATACAACCTCTAAAGGTAGACCAGGTCCTGGCTTGTAGGTGTTAGTGCTATTTGCTTTGTCTCGATTTTAATCGATCGCTGGAAAATACGACTGGCTCCTTCGCACTCCATTCCACCTGCAGAACCTACATAATTCATTTTACAAATGTGGGAATTTCTCCACTCGGCGTATGCATTAGGATTTTTTTCAGAAAGTTTTTGATTTAAGGAGCACCCTCTGCATACTCGACTCATCACCTCAACATCTAAAACTTTCCCACTGTCCATTGAAAGTGCTGCAAATACACCATTCAATGATGAAAATCCCCTACGTTGCCACGTGCCATCACATGATACACCAACATCAAGAACCTCATTATTGTCTTGACAAGTCAATATAATATAAAGTGTATATATATATATATATATATATATATATATATATATATATATATATATATATATATATATATATATATATATATATATATATATACACTATATTATATATAAGATATATATATATATATATATATATATATATATATATATATATATATATATATATATACACTATAATATATATAAGCATATATATATATATATATTATGTATATTTTACATAATATATTACTTTATTACATAAATTAGTTTAATTTGAAAATAGTGGATTTTTAATTAAATTTCCTATGCAAAAACGTTTCACATAAAAAAAGTTTTATAAAAGTATTTTTTAAACAAAAACCGAATCAGAACGTAACAAAGATATCGTAATTACGATACTGTAAGTTAAAACCCATCTTTAAAAATTATTTTTAGTTCTTTTAAGCAAATAATGATGTTCTTATTAACAGCAAAAGTTGTTAATAAGCAAATAATAATTTGTTCATTATAATTATAATAAACAAGTTATGATTTACTTATTAACAACTTAAGGGGTATACTCCCCCAGAAATTTTAAAAAAATCAAAAAAAAAAAAAAAAAAACTGATTTAAACAATTAAATATATGGGGGTTTCAGAAACGTTAATTGTTTTACCTAAAAATATCTCTAAATACCAAAATTTTTTGTTTTTGAGAGTTAGGTACAAAAAAAAGAAAATTATTTACCCCTAAAAAAATCACTTGTAAACCATACAACGTATTGATTTCACAAGTTAAAAGCATTTTTGGCTTCTTGTTAGACTTGTTAGCACTTTATTTTTGGTATATGAAGACAAAGTTCGTTTTGTTGTTTTGAAGCTTATTTTTTGTCCCAGAAATTTTAAATTTTTTAGTTTTCAGACATGGTTAAGGCTGATCGAATTAAATTTAGAACTATGCGAGCAGGCAAAAAAAAGAAGATTTTTAATAGAAAAGTGATAAGTAGCAGTGTGAGTGTAAATAATGTAAATTTTCCTTCTTTAAGTGTAAATATCGAATCACCTGTAAATAGTCAAGCTGATATCTTCGATACGCCAAGCTCTTCTCTTCGCAAAGTTGAAGCAGTCATTAGCTCATCTCCACAAAAATATACCAATACTAAAAACAAAGCTCTGGCAGGATATAGAATTATTGATTGTTCAATTTTGTCTGATGTTATTAGCGTTTTGAGCTGTCCGACTTGTTTCCAAACGACTTTAGCAATCATTGAAAACAAAAGCAAAAAGCAAGGACTTGCATGTGAACTTTCTATTATTTGTTTAAAGTGTAAATATCAAAATAACTTTTACACTTCTAAGTTAGTTAATAAAAAAGGAAACTTTGATATAAACAATCGAACAGTATATACAATGAGGACTCTTGGATTAGGACATTCCGGAATTGAAAGGTTTACAACCCTCATGAACATGCCAAAACCAATGACGCCAAAAAACTATGACAAACTTGTTTTAAAAATTACTAATATTATTGAGGAAGTTGCACACGAAACAATGACTGATGCTGTATCTGATTTAAGACTATACATATATATATATATATATATATATATATATATATATATATATATATATATATATATATATATATATATATATATATATATATATATATATATATATATATATATATATATTTATATACAGTGGCGGATTAAGACTTCTTGGAGCCGGGGCTATTTATATATATATATATATATATATATATATATATATATATATATATATATATATATATATATATATATATATATATATATATAAATAGCCCCGGCTCCAAGAAGTCTTAATCCGCCACTGTATATATATATATATATATATATATATATATATATATATATATATATATATATATATACAAAAATAGCCCCGGCCCCAAGAAGTCTTAATCCTCCACTGTATATATATATATATATATATATATATATATATATATATATATATATATATATATATATATATATATATATATATATATATATATATATATATATATATATATATGATTCAGAATGAGAGAATTTTCAAAACAAAAATACGTATCTTGTTAAATTTGCAAATATATAAAAAGTAGGTTTTTCTGCATTTTCTGACTACTCTAGACTTTGCCTCAAGGCTCGTTTTTGTGAAAAAAATGTCCATTTTTTTTCAAAAGTTGCTGATTTCAGTGAGGTTGAGGGAAGGTCTAAAATAAACCAATATGGCTGATTTAAAAAAAAGGGGCCTACACTACATATATTTTCCATTTAAAATCATACGTTTATTTTTGTTTTACTACGGAGCATTTATTATTCAAATTATCCATAAATTCGCAAAATTTTTAACTTTTGTTGTGATATTAAGAAAGCATATGGAGTATACAAATAAATTTTTTCTAATATAATAAAAATTTTTTTTGTTAAAAATTTTGTACATTGCTAGCTACTTTAATTAGTTACTTATTTGAAGGTAAGTTTTCTTGACATTTTCCCATCCCCCTCCGCTTGCCATTTATCAAAATAAAATAAATAGCAAACCATTACACATCATGTTCATTCTACTAAAGTTTCATATGAATATTTTTTTAAAATAAAACGCAATTAATAAGAGGTTGTGTTTAGATCATATCCCATTTGGAACAATTATTTTTATTTGCGTATTTTGCCGAACAACATTTAAAAACATTTACGGAGCAATATTAATAACATATCACACGTGCCTTGTTTGATATATATATATATATATATATATATATATATATATATATATATATATATATATAATATATATATATATATATATATATATACAATGTTTGATAACAGTGTTACTTTCGGTTGTAAACCATTTTGATGAAATTCGGTTCTAAAATCATTAATGACTTTCGATCGAAAATTCGATTGAAATTTTTTCGGTTCTAATTTTTTTCGTAAATATTTTCGGTTGTGTAATAAGTTTCTCATATTCGGTTCTAAATTGAAATTAGGGATTCGGTTGAATTATAGGACGCCTAAATTTAATAATGCTTTAACGTCATTTAGAAAACTACATATTTACAATTGTTTTTATCTCGCTTGCTTTTAAATCTTTTATCTACCTTGCTATTATAAATACGCAAATAAAAATAATCGTTCCGAATGGGATATGATCTAAACACAACCTTAATAAGAAGCCTCTACATTGATTTAAAATTTAAAAGTTACATTTTTGATTTTGAATTATAAAATTCAAAATAAAAATTTAAGTAACTCAGTTACTTGAATTTTTCAGTTATTGATATGAGCTATCAGAAACACAAGATTTTTCACAATAACAGTTTGAGATCTTTATATTATCAATATAAAGATGAGATTTTTTATATTATCGATAAAGCTACGCCTGCCATTCCAGGTATGTGTTGCATAGAAATAAAAATAATGTACAGTTATCGATTCGGTTTTATGATATTTTGTATTTACCTGAAAAGAAGTCATGGTCACTAAAACACATTTTGATCTCAAGATCTACACCAATCCATCACAGTATTATACTCTGTAAGATAATAATGTGCACTTATTTATATTATTTATATAGTATTGGTAATGCTATTTTAATAAAAACCTATATGGTTTAGGAACGCAACTTCCAACGAATATGGATCTTGCAATACTTTAAATATTGAAAATCAAATTTGCCAAATAGAATTACAAAAAGTTTGAATATTCTATATTATATAGAATGTTACATGAAATTTTTAAATTCATCAAATTATAGGTTGTTATATATCATTAAAAAGAGCTTAATGTCAATATTCTAAAAGTGAAAAAATTTTCAAAATCGAACCACCCTACAAAAAGTTATGACGTTTTAAGTACCGATTTTTTGATATTAGGATTTGTTGAAGAAACTGTGGTCAAAAGAAACTTTTTATTAACTAAAACTATTATAACTTAACCAATTCTTATCCAAATGTTTATATCTTGGTATCAAAAGATAGATACAAGAGTCATCTACAAATTTACAAAGGTTTATAGATAACGGGCGCATCCGGGGAGTAAGAGGGGGCGCAAAACCACCATCCTTACCGGCAATAAAGACGTACTATATTTATAAAAAAGTGTTTTTTTTAATGAAAATGTAAATATTTTATATGCAAGATGTTTTTTTTTATTAGCTAGCAGACCACAATCAAATATAGAATATTCATCATTGCCTTTGGGTGGATGTAAGGGTGATGGTTTTAAACACCCTATTATCATAAATGACTCTTTATATAAATATTTATCTTTATAATTAAAAAGAAATCTAGTTTTCAAATCAAAAAGTATATTTTACTACTTTACAAAATCACTAGCAGCGCACCCCTTGTTTCAAGGGGTGTAAATGGGGGAGGGGGCGTGTTTCCCCCCGCCCTTTTTTTTTGACAACCTAAAAAAAAAAAAAAAATTTTATTGAGATTCATAAAAATATTTAAATGCAATTAAAATAATAAACTTTAATTTAAAAACATCTTTTACCAAAACTCAAAATACATCACACAATGCTTTGTGATAGTTATAGATGGTTCCCCCTCTGACCTAAAACAGAATTTCAAAAACAAAAAATGTTTTATAATATTATTCTAATTAGTTTGCGTTTTGGCTTTTAGTTAATGATTAAGATATTAAATTCCATTAATGAAACTATATATTAATCATTGTTAACAATAGACACGACGTGAACGTAAGCCAGAGCTGTCTATCAAAAAAATTGCAAGTTCCACTACTCGCTTTATATATTTTATGCAAAGTTCCACTACTCGCTATATATTTTTTTGCAAGTTCCACTACTTGCTATATTTTTTTTTGCAAGTTCCACTACTCGCTATATTTTATTTTGCAAGTTCCACTACTTGCTATATTTTTTTTCGCAAGTTCCACTACTTGCTATATTTTATTTTGCAAGTTCCACTACTTGCTATATTTTTTTTTGCAAGTTCCACTACTTGCTATATTTTTTTTTGCAAGTTCCACTACTTGCTATATTTTATTTTGCAAGTTCCACTACTTGCTATATTTTATTTTGCAAGTTCCACTACTTGCTATATTTTTTTTTGCAAGTTCCACTACTTGCTATATGTTTTTTTTGCAAGTTCCACTACTCGCTATAAAGTTTTTGTGCAAGTACCACTTCTCGCTGTACATTTGCATATTATATATATATATATATATATATATATATATATATATATATATATATATATATATATATATATATATATATATATATATATATATATATCAATATATATCAATATATATCAATATATATATATATATATATATATATATATCAATATATATATATATATATATATATATATATATATATATATATATATATATATATATATATATATATATATATATATATATAAAGAGAGAGAGAAAGAGAGAGAGAGAGAGAGAGAGAGATTGAAAATTAGAGAGTCAACCATAGTAAAATAAAGTAGTAAGATAATCAAATGCATTTCCAATAATAAAAAAATAAATGCAACATATTTATATTAGGAAAACATCAACTCACCGGATACAATGTCAGCAACTAGCTGGAATTTTTTCATATAATAATCAACTGCTTCAGTATCATTTTCTTCTCTAGTCCAGTAAGAAATAGTGTATATAATATCTTTCTGAGCTTTTTTAAGTTTTTCTACTCTGCCATTATACAAGACTGTCATTGCTGTATCGGAATCATACCATTCATGGCAAAGATTTCTCCCAACAATTCTTTCACACATAACATCTTTTAAATCATCAATTTGCTTAGTAGATAAGATTTTAAACAAATTCAGAATTTCACTATTCAAAAGTTACCTTACCTATGTTTGATGCTGAAGCAACCACTAAAAATATAAAAAAAAGTTCATAAAAAAGCTATTTAAAATTGCATATGTTAAATTTTTAACAAGTCTTATACATATTCATACCAGTTTGGGTATCTTGGGATCTAGCTAAAGGCAACAAATAATAATATTATGTAAAAATAGATGACATTCAAAAATATATTTTTGATTAAAGCTCTGTTAAAGCTCATTTGCAGATGTTACCTGTGCTTGATGTTGAGGTAACCACTAAAAATAAGAAAAGTAGCATAAGATAAAAGAAACATGAGTTATAAATAAAAATTTTATATGCCATCTTCTAAAGTCTTTCTTTTTTGAATTGTTTTATCTCAAAAATCAAAAATGAGGAGATAAAGCAAGATTATTTTTACATTTCACATTTTTCAAAAAATCAGATAAATATACTTACCAGAATTGACAACTGAAGACCCTGTTGAATATAAAAATGACAATTTATATAAAATATATGAATGTCACAATAAAATTTTATAACTTCAAATTAATTAATATATTTATTTATACCAGTTTGGGTATCTTGAGCTGCAGTTAAAATAACAAATAAAAATATTATGTAAAAATAAAGAACATATTCTAATATATATATATTATTATCAAACTATATATACTTATGTATTATATAGAAAAGTAACAATACCTGTGCTTTCGGCAGATTTAACCACTAAACATTAAAAAGAGAGAACATAGACTAAATTTCTTTTCTATCTATTACTTTTTCTTACATAATTAGAATAATATGCTTACCAGAATTGTCAACTGAAGAGCCTGCTGAATATAAAAAATACAAATTATATAAAAATTTGAATATCACAATAAAATTTTATAACTTTAAATTTCAAATTTTTTATAAATTTAAAAACCAAACATTGTAAAACATTACAGGTTACCTCACCTATGTTAAAAGTTGAAGCAACAACTAAAAATTTAAAAGAAGATAAAAAAATAAGTTAAAATTGCATATAAATTTTGTAACTTTAAATAATTCTAATATATAATCATACCAGTATTGGAATTTGGAGATACAGCTAAAGATAACAATTAAAATTATTAGGTAAACCTAAACGACATACTGAAATTATATATATTTTTGAGTTTCAAGCCTGAATAGCAAATTAACGATACCTGTAGTTGTAGCTGGGACAATCACTAAACAAAAGGAAAATATCATAAAATAAACTTTGTTTTTTAAAATTTACTATTTTAAATAATTGGATATTCTCATCTGATTTGACAACCATAAAAGAAAAATTTTTATAATTTATTATTATTATAAAACCTGAAAAGAGAAAATCTTACTTGAGGAACTTGATGAAGGTTTCACTAAAGAATAACAATTATTATAAACCTATTTATAAAAAAAATTAGTAATAATACAATTTTCAAGTTTTTGCTTCATATACACAAACTATATATTCGAAATTGGTCTTATACATAAATTGCATATTAAATTTTTTAAATCCAAAAACAAAATTTACTTACAAGCGTTAACTAAATTGTCTTAAAAATAAATAAGTAACTAATAGTAAATAAATCTGAGATTGAAAAACAATAATTTATTTTTAACAAAGTATTAGACGATACAATAAAATGCATACTTATTGTATTCTCCATAGTGTCTAAAAAAACAAAAATAACCAATTCAATTGGTTATTTTTGTTTTTTTAGACACTATGGAGAATACAATAAGTATGCATTTTATTGTATCGTCTAATACTTTGTTAAAAAATTTTTTTTTAAGTTAAAAACTTTTTTTTTAAGTTATTTGTTCGCAATTGGCAATTGCGAACAAATAACTTAAAAAAAAAGTTATAACTATAATAATGGCTTTTATTTTTATTTTTGTTAGTTCATTACAGATATATTTTATTTTTATTGTGATTTACATTGTTAGAATTTTATATTATTATAAGATTATATAAAAACATAATAAATAAAATAACAAAACAGTTTTAATAAAAATAGAATTAAAAATAAAATAGATTCAATAAATGAGAATTACTAACTAAATAATTAAATAAATAATAACTAAATAACAAAATTGAATTACTAACTTAATTTTTCATATAAGCTTTCAATAGCTTGTGCATCTAAACAATCATAACAAAGGAACTATTTCAAACAATTTATATCCGTTTTATTTAAACAAAAGTTATATATATGTATATATATATATATATATATATATATATATATATATATATATATATATATATATATATATATATATATATATATTATATATATATATATATATATATAATAAAATTATTAGTAATAGTACTAATAGTATTATTATATCAATATTTATTGATATAGATTCTGACTTTGATACATAGAATCATACACAGAAACATAAATTTCTACCATTATGTACTTCTTACTAAATAAACAATACAATTACTCAGAAATACTGTTACTAGATTAGACAAAGATTAGAAAGTCTTAGCATTACTAAGTATTATTATATCTAAGTAAATAGTGATACTATTTGCATAAAAAATAACTAATAAATTAATTGGAAAATGAAAATAAAAATTTTGGTAACCTTACAATTTATCTCTTCACTCATTTTATCTAAAAAAAGTAAAATTTAGTAAAAATAAAAATTTTACAAAAAAGTTTTATTTTTTTTAAAGTTAAAGAATTCGATTTTTTTGCACCCCCCGATTGCCCGCAAAAAATTTCAGATTAAGGAAAATAGGTACCAAAAGTGGGCCCCAAAATAGACTGCTTGGGCCCCATTTTTTTCCACGAAATTTGGCAGACAAATAAAAAATAGGTAAACTTAAATGGCTGCGAAACAATCTCAATTGCTGTCCATATCTTCGATATTTGCTGGATGTGCAAAGTTAACAAAGTTTTGCATGTCAAGAAATCAACTTATAAAGTACGTAATAGTAATCAAAGAACACAAATTCTTAAAGTATAATCATTCTAGTTTCTAAAAAATATCTATGTTAATATGAAATTATAAAAAATAAGGCGAAAAAACACAGCACAACCTACCTCTCTAAATGCGAAGTTCAAAAAACGTGGCACAGAATTTTAGCACATTTATCGGTTCCGTAAAACGCGGATATCGACGTACCTACTATATAGTCCTCCAAACTCAAACTTAAAGGTTGATAGGTATCAGTTCGTTGAATGTGAATGTATCATGGGGAAAATAGAACATCCATAGATTAAAGCAGTGTTTCCAGTTATTAGCAACGTAAATATTATAAAAAGTTTAAAAAATCTTGAGCAATAGTATTCTAATTTCTTGAAGAATGTAAAAAAAAACTCAAAACAAGATATTAAAAATCAAATAGTATTTGAAAATTTTGTTGACGTATTTTTAGTTTTTGAATTCCAAAATTAAAAGATTTTATTCAAAGTGATAAGCTTCAATCCAATGAATCTAAAATCAAAGATTTGCAATTCTTCAAAGATTAAGAAGGTCCAAGATTATATTATTTGGATCCTTCTAGACACTAAATATACTAAGAAAGTAATTTGATTATGTCTTGGTTGTGAGAATTTGCATAGTGTAAGTTTTATTTTTTTAAATGTTTAGGCATTTTTGCGTCAGATCTAAATAAAATGATGCTCTTAAAGTAGATGGACTTTTGAGTTACTTTATTATATGGGGTGAAATATTAGTATATAAAATATTGATTTAACTAACTTTATTTTGTTTTTTTACTTATACTATGTTGATTCTCATCCACATATTTAGTCTTTAAACAATATACATTTTATAGTTTGATAATTTTATTAAATATGCTCTAACTTTGTGTTTTTGTCAATCTAACAACTAATAACTAATAAATTTATTTTTATATAAGGTAAAATCAAATATAAAGAAGTAAAAAAAAATGCAATGATCACTGAAAAAATGGATCACCGAATAAAATCTTAAAATTTTACGAACAAGACGTTAGAAGTAATGATGAACTAAGTTCAGATAACTTTTCTGATTATGACTTTGAGCCAGGCAAATGGATAAAAATTCAGGCCAATATTACTAAAGATATTTAATGACAACTGCAGGGAATTACAACGACGGTTGTTCAAGCTGCAGGAGTAGACAAACGCCATCAAATCAAGTCTCTCAACTGCAGCTAGAAGAATGAAAAGAGAAAATAAAAAAATTTCAAATATTGCTAAAGAAGATATTAAAGCAAAAGTATGTATCTCCATTTCCATGAATAATTCATTTTGATCGAAAAACTATGTTTGAGACAATTAAAGGAAATAAACTAATATACGAGCGACTAACGAGTTTTTTAAATTTATTTTTCCAGTAAATGGGTTTACAGAAGAGAGAATACGCGATTGGTTGTCACTTCTATCATCTTTCTGGCACACTCATACTACAACCAGTTTTTAGCCAATCCAAAAACTTTGATTATAGTAAACGATTATGCAAAAAGAAATATAGACATGATGCAGGGGTTTATCCATAGATACATTAGTGAAGAAGAAAAAAAAATTAGACTGGTAACCATAGACAAAATTTCTTATGCCATGAAAAAACATGAAAAAAGTTCCAGCAAGATGACAAAAAGAAATATGGAATTAGGTTTAAATAACATGAATAATTTCAAGAAATTCAAAAGTGATTAGAAAACTTTTTTTTTTCTTTTGTAGGCTTGTTTGTAAGTTAAATAGGGAACCTTGTTTACCGTAATTGGCGTGAGTAATTTAAAAATTGATTTTGGCGTAAAAACTTGAATCATTAAAAAAATGAGGAGGGACCCGATAGTAGATAAAGGTGAAAAGAAAGGCAGGGCAAATGCATTACTAATTGAACTAACAAGCAATTTACAATATTATCAACCCAAAAATATTTTTATTACACATGACCGTTGGCACCAGAGGAGGGGAGGGAGAGAGTTCCCCCCCTTCCTTTTTTTTTTTTCAGGGACCTTTTTTTTTATATATATAAAATTGAAAAATGGCCCCCTCCATTTTAAAGGCCGGTTCAATGGTCCTGTTACATTAGAAAAAATGTATTTTTATACTCCAAATGTACTTAAGGCGAGTTTCCACTCATCCGTTTTTTCACGGGAACGGGAAAGGGACGGGAAAAATAATCACGTGGGCATGCGTAGTATAAGTTTTAATATGTCCGAAGTAAAACTACGCATGCTCACCTGATTATTTTTCCCATTCCTATCCCGTTCCCGTGAAAAAACGGATGAGTGGAAACTCACCTTTAGTGAGTTTCTTGTGAATTTACAAATAGTTTGAATAATAAAGGCTCGGTAATAAAGTTAAAATAAAAATACGTATGATTTTAAATGAAAAATGTATGTAGTGTAGGCCCTTTTTTTTAATTCAGCCAACTTGGTTTATATTAGGCCCTCACTCAATTAAAAACCTCTTAAATCAAAAAACAACAAGTGTTATATTAAATGTAATTTTTAAAAAAAGGTAATCGAAGGGACTCTATGGAAAGGTTGAAATAATATTCTTATCATCCATGCCTTCTACGAGTCCCTTTATATTTATATTATATATTATTTAAAACGAGAAGCTCAGGTTTTTATTTTTCAATATTATTGTAAGAAGCACTTTGTTAAAACTTATTATATTATATAATTAGAAAAAAAAATTTAGCATTTCGTTATTTATGGACCATTCCTTAATGAAAATATCAATCAAAAAAATTGCTTTTTTAGAAAACAAAAAAATTTTTTGTTTTTTTTATTAGTGAAATTAGCCTTCCGTATAAGAAACTTAACCAATTCTAATATTAATAATGAGATAATAATTATAGCAAGACTTATACGTGTAGCTTTATTTTTTGATCTTTTTTAAAAAGATCAAAAACGCCTAGAAGAACTTAAGATCTCCTACTTCTGTTGTTTAAATAAATTTAACCTTGCGTTAAAGTGGTAACATGGGGTAGGATGACGATTGGGGCAAGATGACGACCTACCGTTTTCTCTAAATCAAAACTAAATATAACAGCTGACTTTAGCTGAAATGGAAGTAGATTATATTTAGGTTATATTAGAACTAGATTTATTAATGCTTTCTTTTTAAAAATTATTTTTGCGACGAAAGTTAAGTATTGAAAATGTTTTATTATAATTATCCTAGTTTGACTTTTTTATTTCATCACTGCATCACCAGTTAAAGGTAAGCGAGAAGTTTTCATTTAGTTTGATTAATCTGGAAGCTATACAATACAAGAAGTATTAGGCTATGATAACTTGATTATGTATAGTTCTAATTCATTTTAAAGATTGTATTAGCCTGGGGTAAGATGACCGGGGCAAGATGACGGACAAGTGGACATCACAGCACATGTTTTACTATTAACTATATGAATGTTGTTTCGTTAACTTAAATTTTGTAGACTAAGATTTTGTTTTTAACTTAAAATAATACGCAAAATTATTATAAAATAACTTAAAATAATATCGTAAATACTATTTATATGACTTTTTTTATAAACTAGAATTTCTGATGATGGTTTTTGAGGCGTTTATAGCTGCATAAAGTTTTCTTTTTTTAAAGTCTTAAACTTTGTTAACTCAAATTGTCATCTTGCCAAGATGGCGATTTGAGTTAACATCGGTTAATGAGTTTTTTCTCAGCTATTTTCAACTTTTGGAGTGGTTTTTTTATACATCAGTGACGCGGAATGATTTTTTATCACTTCTAAATCAAGTTTTAATTCTTGGGACAGTTATTGAATAAGATATAGGCGTTTTCCGAAACGTTGGTCATCTTGCCTCGTGTTCCCCTATGATAAAATTTTATTATATTCTTTTGTTTCTAAAGTTACTTTGAATTCGTCCATAAATTACGTCACGCAATTTTCGTTGTTTTCACTTACACTCCCCCCCCCCCCTCCTAATTCTAGAATATCTGAAAGGAGTTGTTCAAAAGTTACGTGACGTAACTTTTGGACGACTCCTTTCAGATATTCTTACAATATCACGAGTGATTAATTTAAGATCATTATATGAACATATTCGGAGTTTCTACAACTAATATTTAAGAGTATTATAAGAACTTATTTGGTAAAGAATTATTAGTTTTAGTATTTGTAACTACATCATTTTCACAAATCAAATTTTAGTAAGTTTTCATAAAAGTTATTTATAACAATCTTAAGTTTAACTAAAGTTATGTTTTTTTATACATTCAAACAACATTTTATTTTTTTTCTAGTTGGTCATGTCATCATTTTGTCTGTCGCTGCTTTTAGCTTGCCTATTGTTGAAGCATGGTTTTAATTTAGTATACTTATATAATGTGAAATTTAATGTATTAATCATTAGTCAACAGTTGGAATTTTATATAGACTTAATGTAGAGCTTCAACTTTTTATCTCTATGATAGAGATAAAACCTGATTCAAAATCGAATAAACCGTAGCACGTTAAAGGATTAACAAAAATATATAACGTAACAGTGAAACTAATATTTTAAGAATTTACAAGACGTTTGCACACAATATGCACATGTATCAACCCCAAAACATCCCACTGCCTCTCACATCCCACTGATTGAAATCAGGGCTGTGGAGTCGGAGTCGGAGTTGCGACAATTTTAGCGGAGTCGGAGTCGGAGTCGCTAAAAAATCTCGCGACTCCGACTCCAATAGTAATATTTCTTGGTATTGCACGTGCATGTACATTCAATTAACCTTATGTTCATACTTAACCTCAAAGAACGTTGCATAAATTTGCCAAAAAAAAAATTTCAATTTATTGCGCAATATTTTTTAAAAAATTCAAAGAATTTTTCAAAAATTTTGCTTTGGAGTTGGAGTCGGAGTCGGAGTTGGATTCGGAGTCGGAGTCGGAGTTGTACTCAAAAAATTTCAACAACTGGAGTCGGAGTCGGAGTCGTTACTTTTTTTTACGACTCCACACCTCTGATTGCAACTTATACATTTAAACCAATCTTCAATAAGCAATGCGGCGTTTTGATTGAGTGGATTTATTTTTCCGGAGAAGGTACAATAGTCCTTAAAATGTATGAATTTTAGTCTCTCTGCTGGATTGTTATTTTATTAATATCTCATTTAAATTTTTTCTTTTTAAATTTCAAGTGACTCAAAATTTTCCTTTTTTAGAAATTATAGTTATATTTATAGTTAGCTTTACTATTCTTATTATATTTATAGTTAGGTTTATTATTCTCTGACTTTTCCCTTTAAAATAACTTTAAATAATACTCTTTAAATAATAAAAAAACAAAAAACAACTCATCTATCTATATTGTTTTGCTCAAACTGGAAATCAAGTTTTTTATACCTGCACTATGTTGGAAGTAGAATTTGACAGCCATTATAAAACTCTTTTTTCAAAAAAAACGTTCTATTTATGATCAAAGATTTGAGTGAACCAATAAACTTAATAACTTAAAAAAGATATAGTTTAAAGCGACTTATTCCCTCTGATAAAGTGACTGAGGTTAAAATATACTTTTATAATAAAATGACAAACCTCAAAAAAAAAAAATATGCCAAGTACAGTTTCGCAGCTAAAGTTTATGGGAACATTTATGTTTAATTTTTGTTTAAATGATAATAAATATATTATTATTATTATTTTATTATAAATCTGTTATTATTATTTTGTTATAAATACATTATTGTTATTTTATTATGAATATATTACTATTTTATCATAAATATATTTTTATAATTTTTTTGTGTGAGTATATTACTATTTTATTTTAAATATATTATTATTTTATTATAAATATTTTATTGTTTTATTATAAATATATTACTATTATTTTTTTTATAAACATATTATTTTCATTCTACTATAAGACTAAGCTAATATATTTAGTTTTTTATTTTAGTTTTTATATTTATTATTTTAAATATTACTTATTACAAAAATAGTTCCATAAAATAATTCTAGAAGTAAATATTTCATGCTTTTTATTTTTTTATTTATTTTTTTAAATTATTTAATATTAGCTTTTGATTTCAGTTTTAATGTACTTCTTTCAATTTTTACTTTTCAGAATCACATTATTTGCGTTAACAATGTCTTTTTGTATTTTGTTCATAAGATTTTTAAAATCACTTTCATCTTTAGCAACATTTTTCACGTGCGTTAATCTTAATTTCATATCAACAGTATTCATTTTTTTAAACTTGTTTTCTGTATTAGTTTTATCTACTGTCAATACTTTTTTATGCATTTGAACATTTGGACCCAACTTTTGGCTATCGTTTGAACTTTTTAAACTAATTGTGAATGGTACAAAATGTTCAACTTTATGTCTGCCACTTGAATTTTTTGCGTATTTAAAAAGCAGGTTTTTAAAATATTTTTTCTCCAACTCGTTATTAGGATATAAAATCTTCTTTTTAGACAATTTTATAGGTTCAAACTTACGTGAGTCTTTTACTTCATGGAAATAATTTATATTAGGATGCTTATTACAGTATCTATTTGGACAATTAGTTTTAATCGATATTCCATAACTATTTGGATTCTGCGCAAATTTATCTTTAATTCCCGAAATATCAATAATAACATTAATATTTGGCTCGGACATTAAGTTATCCGACAATACTCCTTTTTTAATCGGTGAATCAAAAGTTATATTGTTAAAATTATTCCGTATAGATAAAATGCGTTTCTTTTTTGAGTATTTTTTTTTGGTCAACTTTTTTCGATCAATAACCGGACTTTTTTTCAATGAGAGGCGAGAGAATAATGTGTTTTTGTTTTTTCTCTTTTTGGAAATATTCACAGTTGTTTGAAAGTCATGTTTTCTTCTTAATTTTGTGTAATGACCTAATTTCTTCATTTTTTTTTTACTATTAGAATGTTGCGCTGGTGTAAAGCTAAAGACACGTGTTCCAAATGTTTTCATGTTTCTTGTTTTTTTTGTTTTTGAAAAGCGTAGTTTTTTTTTATTATTTTGATTTAGATTTTTTTGAGAAGTTGAAATATTGAACTGATTTTTAATAATGTCACTTTCTTCTACTTTTTTTAGTGATTTTCCTTTATTTAAGCTGTAGTTTGACTTTGCTAAAAAGTGTTTGTACGATGACTGGTTAGAGAAATAAAGTCCTTGTGTGACATTATGTTTTTTCATAGGTTTACAGTTTAACATACATACAGGGCATTTTGCAGGCTCTTTAGGCAAAATTTGATCAAAACTTGTTGACTGTTTTTCTTCGTCATTAAGCTCCTTATCATAATTATCTTCAACAGGTTGTTTATTGACATTAGAATCAGGATATTTCTTAATACAATTTTGTGTTGAAAATACCTGACTATTATCTTCTTCTTCTTCTTCTTCTTCTTCTTCATTTTTATATACATCATCATCTAAGTTAATATAATCAATTTCATTTAAACTTTCAATTGGGTTCTCAGTACTTGGAATAATAGGTTCTGTTGGATACTGAAAGGTTGATGTCGAAACAGAACTCGTTGGAGCTATTGATTCAAAAATCAGCCTAATAGGTTTTGTATTTGAAATCGTTTGTAAAGGGTTAGCAATAATATTAACTGGTGTTATTAAAGTAGTTTGCACAACAGTTTCAAGAGATGGTTCAATTGGTAACTTTGTTTCTGATAGGGAAACTCGTTCAGAATCTAAATTTGTATTTAAGTTTGGAGTTGTTTCTGGTTCGGCGACTGCACCAGATAACAAATCTGTTTCTAATTCTGAAACTTGATTCAATACTGTAACTGGTTTTGGTTCTGTTACAGGTTGTGGCACTGTGACGTTTCCCTGTTCTACGATAAGTTCCGGGTCTAAAGCTGATTCAGATACTGTAGCAGATTGCAGTACTGTAGCAGATTCTTGTACACTATATGGATTTTTAGGTTCCATTTTAAATTTATCTTGAGTTGCATCGTTATTATTATTGACTTGAGCTACATTGTCAATAAGAGTTGTTACTTTAGTTGGAGTTGTAGATTCATAGTTGTTTTCAGGATATCTTAGTGTTTTTTGATTTTCAGTTTCAATATTTTGAAATTGAGGTTGCGTGTCTCGAATAAATGTTAGTAACGGTTTACTGAATAAGAAACCCTCATTCAAATTTTGGAGATCAAAAGAATTATCAATGATTAAAAATCCTTCGAATTTTGCGAGAGCTTTTAATGACTGAAAAAAAGAAAACGTTATCTTAATTTTACAGTAAACAATTTTATAATTAAATAAATTATATTCAAAATTAATCATATCTTTTATATCCAGGATTTTTTGTCGTTACTCACGCATTTAATAGTAATAGTGCATAAAAAGGTAAAATTAGTAAATTTCTTTACAAAGATTTAATAATTATTAAAATCAATGACTAATCAGAGGGTTACAAAATTGATCAATTGTTTTAACTAAGTGTTAAGGTTAACATTAGAAGAAAGGTTTCATTTTAAGGATAAATTATATGATACAAAAAAAAATTCAACTTAAGCAAGGAAATAATTTTGTTAAGAAAATTTTTTTTAGTCATAGTTTAATTTAGCTAGTAAAAAAATTAATATTCCAAAAACCTTTTTCAATTGTTGTACAAATTGATAATTAATTGTCCAAAAACCTTTTTCAATTGTTGTACAAATTGATAATAAAATATTATTATTAATAAAATATTATTATTAATAAAATATTATTATTAATAAAATATTATTATTAATAAAATATTTCCATATTCAAATTAAAGAGACTTGGTTACGGTTCAGAAACCGTATCTCAGTAAAGAGGCTTGATTATGGTCCAGAGACCATATTCTCAGTAAAGAAGCTTTATTACGGTCCAGAGAGTTTTAAAGCATTAAAGAATGTATTAAACAACTAATCGAAATAATAGCATGAATAAAATTATAAAAATGATATTTGTTGCAAAAAAAAAAATTCTTTGATTAAAGAATGCTTGGGTTAAAAATGAAAAACAAACATTTTGTTTGTTTATCACGGTTAAGAAACTTTTATTACCTAGACTCAACATTTTGCAGTCTCATTTCTTCGAAAAAAAGATCCAAACATTACATTAGAACAAACATGTAATAATGTACTGTTTTTCTAAAACCAGAGAGCTAATTGTCTCAAGATGTAGTCACCATTTTCAAAAAAATAATTTCTATATTAATAATTCACTATTCTTTCAACCAAAATATAAACACCGCGGCTACACAAAACATAACCCTAACCTAAAGAATTAATTTAAAAGGTAGTAGTATCATTTAAAGTAGCACAGTTCATTCTACTGTATTAAACCTATATTATTTTGCTAAGCTCAGTCAATACACAAATATTTTAAGTTGGAAATTAAAACCTATACCCGTATCTCCTCATTAGAAAGTTTAACCCAAAATGAAAGCCCTAACTTAATAACCAAATTTTTAATAATCGCATCTTAAATAAATGAAGTTCAAAAATTAAATTTGAATATCCATGACTAAGTGATTAGATCAGTGATTAATTTAATGTATGCTCTGGTCATATATGCAATATAGATAAGAATTGTGGCTTGAACTTCCTTGTTAAAGGTTTTTCGGTAGTGTTCAAGACTGTTAGATCTTCTTTTAGCACCTTATTAATCAGGAATATAAAAAAATAATTCAGAAATTATTTAAAGTTTATAAAAAATATCAAAATATAGTACAAAAACTACAACCTTATAAACGTTGGTTAGTTCAAGAGGTTTGCGATAACAGCCAGGAAATTGTGTAGCCTGTATTGCCGCAGGAACACCTATATAAAGTTTTGGATGATTAGCTCTTATAATAAAATTTGTCCACCTAATCAAAGATTCACGAAAGCCGGGAGAATTTTTCATGCAGCATTGGTTTTCAGTAAATCTGACATATATCTAAAAAGACAAAACAGAATATTTATGTCTATCTCACATTTTGTTATTTCTTAGGTTACTGTTATATACAATAATCTGTTATATACAATAATCTGTTATATACAATAATCTGTTATATACAATAATCTGTTATATACAATAATCTGTTATATACAATAATCTGTTATATACAATAATCTGTTATATACAATAATCAATAGTGTATGATAATATTTTCAAGTTAAAAAGATGGAAATCTCGAGAAAAAAGAAAAAAAGAAAAACCCTTTCCAATTGAAAACAAGGTGTTTTATATTGAATATTAAAATGTAATGTAAATATAAATATAAATTATTATGGAATTCAAGCAACCAAAACCAGTTTCTTTATAACAATTGAACTTACCTATATAACTTTTTACATATTACCTGAAAAGTTTCTCTATATTTGGATCCATTTTCTTTCTTATTTATATTAAATGATCTCCGTGAAGTTTCAAATATGATGTCAGTCATTTTTACTGATCTCTTTTTATCTGATTATAGCGTTACAATATTTTTTTATATAGAAATATTATTTTTTTTATAACATAAATTATATTACAAGCAAAACTTAATTACATAAATTTAAATACTCAAATTCGTAACTGTTACTTGAAAAAGTAATTTATTTTTACGAGTAAAAATAAATTACTTTAAAAGTCGTTTGAAAAAGTAAATTACTTTTTCAGGTAAGTCATTAAAAAGTAATTTAATTTGAAAAGTAATTTCGATTTTACTTATTCGCGAAACTTACAACGAAAAGTAATTTACTTTTTATATGTAAAAAAGTTCTTTTCTGTAATAACGTTATGTAATTACATAACGTTATTACAGAAAAGAACTTTTTTGTAAGTAATTTGTTTTTATGATGTACTTTTATTTTACTTTTTAAAATAAGTGTAACATTTTTCAAACAGTACATTTACGTAAATGTACTGTTTGAAAAATGTAACACTTACTTTAAAAAGTAAAATAAAAGTACATCATAAAAACAAATTACTTACATGTGTAAAAGTAACTAATTAGCAAAGGCAACTTACATAAAAGTAATTTGTAAAAAAAAAAGATTTACTATTAGAAATAAAAATAAAGTTTTTCTTTCACTTTTTATTTCCTTCTTCAAAAAACAAAGCCATTTTACTAATAAGTTTTTAAGATAGGTAGTTTATTAAAAAGCATTGGTTGATGGGTACATCTGCGTTATACTACTCGGAATTATTCCTGTGTATGTATATTCATATTATGTATGTAGGCCGTTTTTGCATTATGCGGGGCATTACAAATTATACAAGTAGGGGCTAATATAGTTAATAGGATGGATTTGTAAAAGTAGGAAAGCGGTGGTGAGGGCCCTTGAGCAATAAGGAGCAAAATTATTTTTTCGTTTAGACCGAAAGTAGATTATTGATCCTAATTAAACATTTAAATGTGGTCAGGGGAGGGTATAGTTTTAATTTTTTTGTTACTTTTTAAATTATTTTTTTAATTGTCCCCAAGTAGTCTATACGGTACAGCACCCCGCGTAAAAAAATTTAACATCGCGCCTCTTTTTTAACTAATGTTGCAAAACTCGCCCATTTCGTGGTAAACCTTAAACCTTTATGATCAAATATTTATTATGCATTATTTATTTAGTATCCGACGGAGGAAGGGGGAGATAAACTAAATGCTATAAAACGATATCCGTTAAGGGCAAGGAAAGCCGGTCAACCATAAACTAAAAGATTTTATTATTACTTGGAGATCCTATGTTACTGAAAAGAAGATTATTGTCAACAGCCTTCTTTTCAGTTGCTTTGATGGCCAAGCCGCCCAAGTAATATTCTAACATATTCGAATAAAATAGTTCCTTTTAAAATAATTTGCTATTTTTTTAAAAATTTCCTTTAAAATTTAACATGAAGATGGGCAGTAGACTGTCCGCCATCAGTAGCTTATGTGGTTACAATAGTGTCTCTTCAGTAGCTTATGTTGCTTTAATGATGCTTCTATTACTCTATTCAAGAATAAAATTTTACGAATAGTTTTTTAAAAAAGTTAGTGTTCATTTGGGTAAGAGTTGTTGTTAATAATTACTACGCTGAGTTAAAGATCTTAAAGAAGGACGATGACGATAGACGATTTAAAATAGTCTTTTAAAACAAATGAAAAATTAGGTTATAACCCTTTTAAAACTAATTTAAACCTAAAAAAAAATGAGATCTTTTGAAAACCGCAACAGCTGCTTATAGGCTACTAAATGAATTAAACTATAGTTTATTTAACCGTTTCTTTTTTAATACTTTATAACGTCTTTTTGCGTTACCGTTGTTTTTTTATAACAACTTTAGAACCACTAGGTTTATTTTAATGTTTTTGAAGTATATTGCAACGTTTTTTTCTATAAGTATTTTTTTAATTACTAGTCATATTATTTTTTAGAGCCTTCATTCGATCCCACTGAAAATTGATGTGTCTCTCGTGGAACAAATTTAATAATAATCTAATTAGCGGAATAACCTAGTAACTGTAACGGAAGCATTCTATAAAATTATCAATAATGGCTTCTGATATTATACCATACATAACACGGCATATACCAGACTAAATTTCTTCAAACATACATATTTGTTATATTTTGGCATACTGTAGTAAGCCAAAAATTATATTTTTGGCTTACTACAGCAAAGAATTGTTTTAATAGCTAAAACCATAAACGGATTAAAATTATGTGTTGCCCGGGGTTATATTTAAAGTAACTTTCTTTTTTTTTTAGTGCTACAACATTTAAAGTGATTTAAGAATTTAAAAAAACGGTTTTTTTGAATATTTTATAGCCGCTGCCTAAACCTACCCACCACCACATAGTCTAGTACTGCCCAATATAGTCACGGACCGGGAATAAGAATGGTTTTAATCAGCAGTATTTTGATGCCTATAAACCAAATACTGATGCATCAAAATTTACAAGGGAAAAAAAAGCCAAAATCACTCACGAAAAATGTCGCCAAAAACTTAATGTTAGTTACTTTGATTCAAGTTGTACTTTTTGCATTTCACTCAGTTGCACATTATCCTCTCTAATTTATTTTAGAATATAAGTAAATTTACTTTCTTTTAATATATATATATATATATATATATATATATATATATATATATATATATATATATATATATATATATATATATATATATATATATATATATATATATATATATATATATATATATATATATATATATATATATATATATATCTTATACTGCTGAGTTAGGTGAGCATGATGATATCATACTCACCTAACGTCAAATAGCCTGCTGCCGGGGGCTTCAGTACATACATCGACTGACAAATAGCCTGACTCGCAGTGGAGTGCTGCTACATTGACTGAGGGTTTGGTATGGGTCCCTCATCGTTTTCTAAAAACGAATAATATATATATATATATATATATATATATATATATATATTTTTTTTATTCGTTTTTAGAAAAAAGGAATAAAATATATATTCCTATATATATATATATAAATATATATATATATATATAAATGATTGTAAATCTTTAAATGATTGTAAAAAGACAGCTAAATATAAAGAATATGTTTTAAAGATTAAAATTCACTCTTAATTTATCGAGCTCATCTCTTGGCTCAACACATCTCTAGCGCTTAATTGTCCATAAACCAGAAACAAAAATCGGAATCTGTAAAAAAGAAACAAAATTTCAAAAATGACCAAGTTTCCAAAAGATCACAATGAGTGCAGGATATCTGACTGCTTTATTTGTATGAAAAAAGTTGATCGCGAAATGACAGAGTCATACAGGATATCTGACTGCTTTATTTGAATGAAAAAAGTTGATCGCGAAATGACAGAGTCATACAGGATATCTGACTGCTTTATTTGTATGAAAAAAGAGTCCTACAGGAAAAAGATTATGGAAGCTATTTCAAAAAATAACAACTTTGACAATGACAGAGTTCCAATAGGAATTAGCATGGCTTGTCGTTTCAAGATAAATCAATCAGGTGACCACACAGCGCTCTATAAGTAACAGGCCGTGACAGCAAAACTTAGAAAAAATGTTGTAGCCGATTTTTTAAAAATCAATATGATATTTGTTTTGAAACAAAATATTTTCTCCCGTTTTAAAAAGCATTAAACGATGTAAAAATTTGTACAATTTATAAATCTTTTTAAGTTTTTAAATGAAATGAAACAATAAACTTTATTTAATTGTTTCAATTCATAAAATTGCTTAAATAATGAAATAAAATTTTTTTATATCGGGTAAAAAATAAAAGTTGAATAAAATACTGTTAGGGTAACTGCACCTTTAAATAGGAATACATTTAAGTGATTTAAAGAAATAAGGAATACTTTTAAAATCATAAAATAGAAACTTTAAATCAATTAATAAATTTCAACAAAGACATAGCAACATAAGTGTCAATGAACAACTGTCAATTTAACAAGACAACTTTAAAATTTTGAGACACGGTTCTTTGTTAGTTCTAGGTGCGGAAAGTTTGCAGTGTGGAAAGTTTGCAGGTTTTTGATAAAAAATATTTGACAGTATTTGATAAAAATATTTTACAGATAACCATGATGTCGTTCCAAGTCAAAAGAGTAATGATCCGATAAAAGCATAAAAGTGTTGCACAGGGATGTGCGACAAACTTTATCTTTAATAGAGTTAAATAGTACAAATGAGAAGAAAACCCATTGAACAGTATTATCAAAGGAACTTTTAACTTACCTCTATTGACTGATTTTAGATATTGATCAAACTTTTCAAAATAAAACTTTTCAAAATAAAACAGTTCTGGTTAAAAGCTCATTTTCGTTAAGCAAATCATCATTACGAGACACATATCCGGCAATATAAACAAGAGACATCTGTGATTGAACAGTTATACTTTTTTCTAGTGTTGGTAAATTATCAAAGGTCTCAGCTAAAGATTCATCAAGTAAAAACCCATAAAATTGGCGAGA